GACTTGGATTTCACAGACACTTTTTCTACGAATGAATGACTTGATATGCGAACAAAAGAGGAACACGCATAAACGAATCAAAATTTTAAAAATGAGTGAAATAGCGCTCGTCCGATCGCCTAATTCCGGTTAAAGTACATTTTTATTCCGCCTAATGATATAGAAAGGAAGCAAATACTGAGCGCCTTGTTGTTGGTCTCCCGTACATGCCACTGTGGATATGGCAAACATTTGTTGCACTGACGAGGCACGTTTCGACAGCTGTCACTCCTCTCGAAATGCATTCACGGGAGTCATATTTTTTCCAAGATAAAGGCTAGTATATCTTCTCCCTCGAGGTTGCTAGTGGAAAAATGGTTAGATCTCAATAAAAAATGTTATTTTTTACATTTATACATTTTCTGGCAGGGTAAAATCCAATGTTGAATTCATTTAATTACCGCTCAACAGCTCCGATTTGAATGTAAGTGAAAACTTAGCACTGTGTTGGAAACAAGGATAAGTTATCTACCTCGAAACTGGTCGTAACTGGTCAGAGTGCGGCATGTATATTAGAGGAGAATGCAAATGCTAATTAACTGTGAACTTGGTGAACTTCATGGAAAAACGACCACCTCCAGTGCTCAAAAATAAAGAAGGAAAAATAGAACATTGATAAAAGGAAGTACAATACCTGTATCATGTTTTTGATCTGTTTTTTAACTGAATTCTAATTACGTTCTTAACTGAGCCTTTGTTATCTAAAAATTACAGCACCAGACTTTGTCATTTAAATCGAAAAATTGTTCATTTTAATGTCATTCGACTAAGAACAGCAAAAACATAAATGGATATATTTACGGGTCTGTTACACCTGACTTGGGGAAATAGCGTAATCAATCCCGTGAAAGAGGTTTGAAATAATAAACGTTGAGGGCAACAATTTTGATGAAAGTTGGGGTGTTGTACGAGTTTGGTCAATAAATAAAGATGCAGAAATAATAAGAACCTTATGCCGGTATCAATGCATTCATCTTGTGAGGTAAACAAAGTAGATATTATCTGCCAATTTTAATTGACCAACAAAATACCTATGCTATTTTTTCTAATCTATTGTTAATGGTCGATACAGTTTCTATTATCATCATCATTATCTTCGGTTTATTGGTTTACTGGTTAAACCTATCGACGTCACTGGTTTTGAACAAGGTTACCAAACTTACTATTTCTCATAGTTGATTCATCTAACGAGCAGAACCTAGCTTACTCAGATATCAGTAGAGCGCGCGATTGAAACAATTTGGGTTTCGGAAAATGTTTTGCTAAAATTTGAGGAAAATCCGAAACACTAATCAGGAATTCAAATTAAAATAAATCAGCCAAAGCATAATAAGACAACTTTTATCTGAACACAATTTATTTGAAAAACCTAAACAAAAATATATGATACTATAACTTACGAAGTTCGATTCGATTCACCGAGTATAAATATTAACTCCTGACCAATTACAGCGCACTAATTAACTCACGGAAAAATGTGACAAAATCGGAAAGCCTACTCGTTGTGTCATTCTGAACATTTATTTTAAAGGGCTGAATGAGTGGCGGAGTGAAGAGACGGGTGGAAAATATTCAAACACCGAGAAAAGGTAATTGTTATTAATCATGCTCTCCGTCCTTCAATATTCCCAACCCAATTTTGCCAGACCTCTATGCTGTTTCCTGTCAAAATAACACCAACCATTAGATTTCTTACATCCCCACCCACTCTACATGGTTCTCTGAGTCCTATCATTTGTCATAATCGATCGGCAGACGAAACAAAGAAAAAAGAAGCTTCTTGCATTCGTCATGTCAGTGTCCTTCCGAATTAAAATCTCGCTTCATGGTCAGACATAGAAACTCGTAAAACTGTAAAAAATTGTACCGAGTTTAATACTTTCACACCATCATCAATGTGAGAAAGGATTCGATTTATACAATACATTTCACAAGAGGATACCAAGTTCATCCATATCCGCGCCCTGCTCTGCCTAGAATCCTCACTTCTGAAATCGAAGGTTATAATTAACCTAAGCAAACAATATTTCTGGTAAAGAACCTCACAAAAGTTATCGTATCGGGGCAAAGAGGTGCTAAGGAAGTAAACAACTAACAAGACTGTTTTGGGCTGAAAAGAGGGAACGGTCAAATGTTTTTTTACATGTTCGGACGCAACCTCTGGCTTTACGCGTCCCCAGGGGATGCTCATTTTAATAAATTGGACTCAGAATTGTGGGTTTATTGCCGTCTAACCAATATATTGTGGCATAGCCGGCAAATCAGTGTGCGGAGATGACTGACCGAATTCCACTAATGAAGTGAACCAATCTAGAACGGCTTTCCATAAATTCCATTTGAATCTAACTGGATTGGTATGTCAAAAAACCAAAAGTTCCTAAAATAATAAGTAAATACCGATAAGGCTTATCTCAAACCGAACGCAGTTAAAATCAAAGATGTGTTTAAACGAGAATGTCACAAGGGCAAAATAAATTCTTTAAAACGCCTTGAATTTAGCATGCAAAAGATGAGAATGATTTCATGGATAATTTGGTCCCATATGAGCCTAAGAATGCAGTCGGTGGTGTACAGATTTAGGTGAAATGAGAAACGACACAAATCGATGTTCATTAGTGATGATTCGTCGTGGCTGATTCCACACTGACATGGCGACAGGTATGAAATCGAGATTTTCGCTCAGTACCTATAATTTGTATCGAATCCCATATTAAATTTCCAAATGATTACATGATCTCCGCTAACAATACTGACATTGTCCAACAGGATAACGACTCCATTCGTGCTACCCATACTGAATTAGTGTGTTACAAGTTTCGAATCCCTGACTGGTTAGATAGAATCTGTGATTTAAATGCTACATGCAAACCAGTGGGACAGATTAAGCAGATTTGTATCTGAGGGATAGAGAGATTTGCATACTGATATGTGGCTGGACTCGATGCCCCTCAGAGAGTGGAAAAATTTCAAGGGAGAACATTAGCCAAAATTGGATGTGAGTAACCAGAGATCTGTATTTTGACGACACAATTTCAATAGTTCTGCTCTCCTCACAAAACGTAACGAAAAAGGTCACTTCGAATGATCCTGATAGCAGTTCTGACTCTTGAAACACGTTCTTAACTAGAAAAATGGTGAATTTTACCTCTACATCATTGTTATTTTTCACATCAGGCACCTTAAATCTTTTACATTTGTTTAAAATGTGAATATTTTATGTAGAAAAGCACCGGAAGAGGACTGTTGAACTGAATACATCTTATCTAAAAGAATCAAGTTCTGGAATTTTACAGAGACGAAATGTTCGCGTGGAAAGTTATTTTTCTTTTGTACATTTGATTTTTTTCAGGGTAGAAATGAAGCACTTGAACTTTGGCTACTACACATTTTTCTTAATTTTAATCTCTGCGAAAACGGGGCAATCCGGACGGAACAAAACATCAATAACGATTTATAATTCACCCACCAATTGAATTACTCAGTCATTGTGTACAGTTTTATTAATTTTTGGTATCTATTCACTTAAGTAGTAGCGATGCGGATTGGAAAATTTGTGCAACAATGTCTGTTATTTGCACAGGAGGGAATTGAACACAACAAATACCCCGTTGGAATTGCTCTTGGATTCAGTTTTCGCCATGGTTAGAGAGTGTGGGCGCTACACCCAACAACATGTATCCAGAAATTTACCATTTTCCCCTTTTTTCCAGTTTCCTTTATATTTCAAATGGGAATTCGTCGTGTATATAGCAAATGAAGCGTGAACTGAAAAGCTCGGAAGTTCACGCTTCCTTTGCTATATACACGACAAATTCCCATTTGAAATTTAACCAAATCCTCCATTACCCACAATTCCTTTATATCATTGACGGGGTATTTTTCATTCCGAAATCAACCACTACTGCATGCAGATAAAGGAAATCAACAAAATGTCTTTTGTTGTTAACTGGTTTATCGATCGCTGTTAACACCAGAAGAACTGAAGTTACTAGGTGGAGCTGTATTCGTGTATGACTTTCATATTCAATCCGTCATTTTTCCTGACCACAGAATCGGTATCAACCAGAGCAAAGGAACTTAGCGAAATGGTGGCCGTATTCACCTTCCAAATGACCCTTTTCACTTATCTCCCGAGGGGAGTTAATACTGCTCTGGGCAGTTCTGTGGATACGTTTAGAGCTTTGTGCGGTTTTCTCGATCAATTTGTAGCTACCTGCATTATCTGTACCACTGATCAATACTCTACGTTAAAACAAAACATACCCGGATAATGTTATTGCGTTTGGCAACTTTCCACATCGCTTTGAGTGTGAGTCGTGTTAATGTCTCCCTGGGAGGCCCAGACTTGGTGATCATATTCGGTTTTCTTCTGTCACCAGGGGACATCCCGCTGCACACTTCTACCGAAGCAAATAACTGAAATACTGACACAGTTTGCAAAACATTCCGTTGGAACACCAGAAGCTATTCTATCAATCAACAGGTTTTTCTCACCAAACTGTGTCCGATGCCGATGCAGGTCGATAGACCCAACCCAAACGAAACAACATTGTAAATCTATTTAACCATCTATTCAAGGCTCTGAGCATAAATCACAAACGTTTCGTTCAACAATGAAACATATAGGGACTTAGCGAACGTCCAAGAACTCTTGCCTAAGAACAAACCCAGTACCGGGTGTCCGCGCAAACCAGATGAGGTAACACAAACACACCATTCCAAACACAAATCGTGATCTATTCTTGTTGTTTGATCTTGCCTCTAAATGTACAAACACGTCCAGATCGCGACAACACTCCGTCCAGTTTGAGAGCCAAGAAAACCGGTATGGTGTATACTGTTGTTCACTGACTACCCATCCCATGGCACACTATTTTTTATCGTTAATTTTGTCCGGACTGGAATACTGCCAACCCACTGTCCACCATAATTGGATGCTGGAGACAAAACTGTGGACTTACCCGCGAAAAATACATGAGATCCTCGATTCACCGGATCCGCTAGTCCACCATCCGTGCTGCTGGACGGAAATCCAGCGGCTGCAGCAGCTGCCACAGCCGCGGCGTCTGTGATACGATCGATCAGTCCGTTTCGTTCGGCCATTTAAAGCTGCCCAATTTACTTAGTGGGTGTAGGCATGTGTCTCGTGCCACTTTGTGTGTGCGTGTACGTGTGTGTATGTGTGTGTGTGGTTGGGTAAGATTGTATTGCGGGATCACAATGGTTTCACGAAAATTCCATCTGTTCAGTCGATCAAAGCTCACGGAAGAGAGCCAGTTGTGTGACAGTCCAAACTTCACTCAGTCAAGCTCCGGAATACTGTTCCTCTCCTTGAAGAACGACCTGACCGCTATTTGGCCGGCTACACACTATGGCTGGATCGGTCAAAGTTCAGCTTCGGTGGTTGAGTTGATAGGGAATTAAGTTGAACTGGCAAGGACCCTTTGGGACTTCTGGTTCATCAAGTAGGAATGACTATAAGTATGCTTTGTACCAGGCATTCAAGTCCCTTATCTTTGGTTATTCAGTGTCTGGGGCATACACATTCGTTGGTACCCGCACACACACACACACACACAAAAACAAACAAACAAATGCACACATATATTGACTCAACCAATCACTTTGTGACCTCGAACATCCGCATCACACGGTGGTGGTCTCAGTTAGTCTTGGGTTCCATTGAAGCACTGTTTTATCGGCTGAAGAATAATGGTATTGTGTTTTACGGATAGGCATTCGGAGCTTGTATGTTTGTCTGCGTGCTTGTGTGCATGCTACCAGTTGTGGCTACCTGTTAGCCGAAGCTGAGGAGATTGAAATAACTCAGTCATGTGGCCATTTCGAAGGTAACCAAGGTGGAAGTGGAAGGAACTCGGTTGCAATCGCGGTGTTCCTGAGAGTCCAACACCCCTACCACCATCGGTGTCACCACACAAGTTCGATGCATGCGTATGTGTAAACTTATCTAGCGCCTATTCTTCCGCACACTCTTACACACACACACGCTCAAACACGCACAGCTCATTTTCGCACCTAGTTCTTCTCATGCAGTCA